AGGAGGGCAGTAGTTGGAAAACTGAACTGAATATTTAAAAATATATATAAGCCCAACATAAAATCAAATAGGATGTGTTTTAAAAACTAACCACAAAATATTTTGAGAGGCCATCACAGAAAATTGATTCCACAGATTTCCAGAGGGCAGAAACAGGCTGAAAAGAAGCAAAGATATAATAAAACTGAATTTCACTGATGTCCATAAGTTATCACAAATCCCTTACTCTCTTCTTAAAGGTCATAGTAAGGAATATTAAATGACACTAGCTAAATTAAACAAATTTAACTAGTTGCAGGCACCCAATAAAAGTAAGTTGGAAGCCACGTTGTGATGAATGAGATAATTCCTTTTCTGAAGCCTAGCCAATTAAGAATGGTAAAGAAAGTTCTGTTCATAGGAAGAGAAATAAGTCATTAGGCGGGTATAATAATGGCAGGCTTAAGTGTGCAGCTATATCGCTGATCGAGGAAAAATAAATCCTCTGCTAGGGACTCTTCACAGACTTCATCTAGCAACTGCTATTCTTCCTCAGAAAAAGTTTTCCTCATTGGAGGGGAAGGAGGGTTAGAAGTAAACGTGGAGAAACACACCCAGGTGTAAGTGCTGCCCTAGATTTAAAAATACTGCCCATCAAACACACTGCAGGGTTTCCACGCTGAAGCCTTTCTAGCAGGTGCATCGTTCAAAACTTAACTACAATTCTCAAGGATCTATCCATGTGCTTTCTCTACAGCTGCTTGATATCTTAATAATTATCATTACATTAATGATTTGCAGCCATTTGAAATCACATTCTACCTTCTGATTACACAGAAATTACATACTCATTGGAAAGTAGCCTAATTTTACTATGCTTAAGAATTTTTCAAGTAGTAAAAAAGTATTTAACATACTGAGTTTGCTTATTTCTCCGGAAAGTTACTTAGTAAGCTTAATGGGAAATTATGTGTCTTTTTTTATATGTAAATCCTACTCTGTTTATTCCATTTTATAGCTGAGTCCCAAACCCTAGACTTGATTACATTTCTTTGCATTTTGAAATTCCTCTAGTTGTGTGTAAAGTTTATATAGCAGCATGTTCAATAACTATTCATCAACTTTTGTAACTAGAAAACTCTAATTGGTTTATCTAAAGGAATCTAGTTAGGACATTTAACTGCAAACAAAAAAAAAATGTTATATTTATTACTAAAATAAAGTCATGAGCTAAACAATAGCATTCCAATTGTGCAGCAGTGATAATGTAATTGGTTAGAGGAATTCAACAACAATCTGAAATTTAGTTGAATTAGCATATAATATTTTCCTGGTACTGTGATTATTTTAGTAAGAGAAAGTGGCTTCATTTTGATCATCTATAGCACAGTAAATAGAAAATCCCCTCAGTGGGATAAATCTTACTGTTGTTTTGAATTGTTTCTTATCTTAAGTGAAAATATATTTAAGGTCGTTCAATTGACACTTTCCTCATTATTACTATGTGTTTCTTCTTCTATCCCTTATATTAGTAAAGATAAAGCATCCTTCAAAATTGATATTAATATTGGAATTCACAGGTATCTCAAAACTTCCACTTTACCTTAATGTTAATTAAGAAAGTAGGTGTTTACATTGATTTCCTAATGTTAAAGCACAGGGTCTGATTGTAGCAATAAACACAGAGTATCTCTGTTGCATTTGTTTCTCAGTCAAAAAAAAAAAATCATTCATTTTTAGTGTAGAGTTAGTCTCCATGTTAGAATTCTCATTAATATTAATAACTTATGGAAATACATTTGCTTTTGGTGAGCATGCATTTCTATTTTCATTGTTGCAAAATGTTTACCAGTTTATGGCATGAGATATTATTTGTTTCTATATTTGGGTTGCCACAAATTCTCCCAATCAGGCATAATCCTAAACAAGCACCTTGATTTCACAATTATCTCCTTTGTTCTGAGTGGTAGCTAGGGGCAGGAGTTGAAATCTTTAACACATTTCTGTAGCCTAAAATTAGTAGATTCCCTAAGGTGACTAAGTAGGAATTAATCCTACTTCCCACCTTCTAGCAAAATACTAGATTGTTTTTACAATTGTTAATTACTTCAAATTCAGATCTACAATAATTACCTCACATATTGCCCATAAACAAAAAAAAAAGGTAGTAACATTGAAAACACTTCCCCTATAATATATAATGAAGTACATGAATATCATATATTTCATATAGTATTAGTCATTAAGGAATGGTATGGCAAAATTCGGGAGTTGACTGTTTAGTTTCATAGGTTATTCTTGAAAAAAGTCTTAGAAAGGAAAAGGAATGAACAATTATGGGCATCTACATTCTGCCAAGCATTATGCTAGGTATATGTGATGATTCATTGAAAGGCAGTGTAGCAAGGTGGTTAAGATTACAGAATTGAGTTCAGATTTTTCCTCACACTGTTGCTTACTAGACTTTGACTATTTGGGCTAATCTCTCCACGCTTCACTTTTCTCATTGATAAAATGAGTGAAATCCTAGAACCTACCCCTTAGAGTTGCTGGGAGGCTAAAATAAGTTAATGTAAGTAAAGCACTTAGAGCACTGTTTGGCGAGGAGTAGGGGCAAAATTCACATTCAACCAACGTTATCTTCACCAAGTCTTACAAGGGGAGATGACCTTATCTTTACTGATAAGGAAACTGGCACTCAGAGAGTTGCAGTAATTTATGTAGAAACAACAGAAAAACTCATACTTTAAAATAAATTAACAACTTTTATCATTATGTTGATATTTCCATTCTAAGCAACATACTGATAGCTTCCCCTCTGCATATTTACTTTTAAAAAAGATCCTGTAGCTGTCCTTTTCTTTGGACTACGTATAGCAAGTACATTAGACCCGATGACTGCAAAGGGGATTACTACAACACATAGTCTGTTCCTTCAGTTTACATTGTGTGTGTGTGTGTGTGTGTGGCGGGGAGGCTGTGGTGAAGGGATGTTGGAAGACAGGGCTTTTTAATCTTAAAATTTACACATGAAACATAAGAATGTTAACTTTTTTTTTTGAATTGAGACACCACAGAAGACATATCAAGGAAAAGCTTGACTCAGTGGAAACACTGTGTAGTCCAACTGAAGATAAAATAAAAGTTCACAAAGACAAAATGAAATAACTTAGGAAATTGTTCAGATCATATGCACTGGTGGTAAATAATGAGTTTTTATGAATCCAGGTAAAAGGTACTGCTTTGACTCTTAAGAGTTCCTCTATCACTATCATTATGTTTACTGATGCACGTTCCCACCAGATGTTAACAGCATCACGGAACCAGTTGAGATTTGATTATTGAAAGTGGGCTGTCCATTCTACTTCCTTTTGGTATAAGCCAAACACATCCAGGTGTACCTTCTGTGCTATTTGTTCTAAAACCTAAAGGTGGGAAAATTGAAAAAGGCCCTGAATTAAGTAGATTATTTTTTGTTTCAATTTCATGGAATGACTGAATAATTTAGTCATTTTTTGGGTCTTACTTTTATATTATTTAAAATTAAATTATTGTTTTGAAAATCATGTTAACAGCTACTATTTCATTACATTTCCAGAGCAATCTTATGAAATAAGCTGATAATGAGTAGTTCCTCTATTTTATAATCAAGGAATCTGGGTTTCAGAGAAATTCCTTCCATTGAGTCAAAGAGAACATGGAGTGGGCTTGTAGTTAATAAATATAGCTAATATTTAATCGATCCACAATTCCAAATCTTTTATATTTATTCATTTCATCTTCACAACATCAAACACATGAAGAGGGAGCTATTATATCCATTTTACAGATGAGGTTACTGATGCATCATAAAGTTAAGTGTGTTGCTGAGGTTACAATTAATAAATGGCAGAGATGGAATTGAAGCTCAGACAATCTATTTCCCAAACATGTAACCACTTGACAAAACTCCCCCTCTAAGGGCAATAAACATATTTAAGCCTGTAGTACGTGCCTTCAGGTTATTTAGATCCTTTTACAAAGGCAGTGCAAGTATAAATTGGCTTATCATAGGAATCAGTTTCAGTTTTTTGGAAGAACATAAATATTGCCATTGGAATGTCTATTAATTTTGTGCTCCTGAATTTATCTCGTTCTTAGATTCCTGCTCTATGGGACCTGGAGGCCAAAAATAGTCTTACTTTATAGCATTTGAGTTTCAGACTATTAGGTTTTTGGCATTGCAATAAAAATGTCTGTTTCTGCTCCAAAACTAACCCAGGTTAGGAATATACAGAAATGGGAATTTAAATGCCCATAGGGCTCAAACCATAATTTGAAGTCACAGACACCGGACTCCTCTACCACCTAATCTGTAAGCTCCCTTAGAGTTAACCTCTTTCTCACCAAACTCAGCAATGCTTATTGGGCATGCCCAGTTGTATGGTTAGAGCTTCACACCGAGTTTTACTTTCTCCAGGTTTTACCAGCAGCAAAAGGAAGGAGGTGAAGGAGTGAAGGGTTAAACAGGTAGAAAACTTGGTTCAGCTCAGGATGCTTATGACCAAGAGAGAGCAAGGAAGGCTGGAGAATGACGAGAGGCTGCAGTAAAAAACCACCTTGTCAGACACAGTTGATCTTCGTCTCCAAGTTGACATCTTACCCTGTTGGGTTCCTTTTACATCTTTTTGGCACAGCCTAGGCAGGTCATGGAGCTTTGTTGTGATTACTCAAGCCAGAGCCACAGTAAGCGGTGGGCAGGGACATCGGATCTAGGAGAATGCCAGTGCCCGTGTTAGTCCTGCCAGCCCCTGCATTCCTCGAAAAGCTGCAGCTTCTTTTCAAGGGTTCCAAGCAGGAGACCAAGGTGCACAAGTAAAGCCAGAGCTCATCATAATCATCGACTCCTTGGCCCCTTCCCTTTGACTGCTGGGGCCTTTCCTGGCACCGTCTCAGATATCCCCACCCAATCACTACTAAACCCCGGAGAAGTGGAATCTCCACACAGTTTTCACGGGTCTAACAGGGGCCTGGGCATGCTCAGTAGGCTACGTGGTTCTCTGGTTTGTTCGTTTCTCTCTCTCTCTCTCTCTTTCTCTCTCTCTCTCTCTCTCTCTCTGATGGGGAAGGGAGGGTGGTGGCAAGTTACAAGCGCTTGCGGCAGGTCCCCGCCCCCAGGATCAGGCTCCCCGTGCAAGGGGACGATGAAAAGGTAGAGGCACCTCGCTTCACAGCATCATCCAGATCTGGACCTGCTGCGACCACGGGCCGAGCCCACCCATTCCCCAGCCAAGGGACGGGCCCGCCGCTCTCCATGGTACTGCGGAGAGCTCAGCTCCGCCCTTCTCTTTCAGAAGGACAGCACCCGGCGTCACGTAACCCAGCCTTCTCGGGCTCCTCCACCGCCTTTTCCTTCCCAGCTCTTTCCCTCTCCTCCCCCTCCACCTCCTTCTCCTCCTCCTCCTCCTGCTCCCCTCCGTTGCCTGTTCTCCCCTCCCGCACTCCTGGAGATAGACGCTCAAGCCTGACGCCTCTGAAAAGGCAGCAGCAGTCGCCTTATCCATAGACCTCAGGAAATTCGCTTTGACCGATGCATGCTTCAGGCTCTGGCTCGAGCTAAGGGGAATAACCAGGCAGGTAAAGAAGCTCAATTTGGGTTGGGGGGAGGGGATGGGGCGAGGCAAGCTGAAGAAGGATATCTTTCCCCATTGTAACTGAGCCAGGATCTGCCACAAATACACAGGGAAAGATGGGTGGTGGGAGGGTGGGGGAGTGTAGATCTTGGTTGTTTTGCAAGAAGCCTTTTAAATAGATGGCAAGAAGATGAGATGGTGGTACTGGGGTAGTAATTTAAAGGCTGAATGCAGTGATTTATTAGCAAAAGAAAGAAAAGAAGAGAAAGGTTAGATATCAAAGCAATAAAATATCTCTCTATATATTTCTTTCCCTACCTCAGCAGCCCCACACTATGCATAGCCTTAATTTGTGCAGTAGACTCCGAGCTCCAAGAAACTGCCCTGGTATTAGAGATGGAGCTTAGAGACTGGGCGGGAAAGCCGGAGAGAATTTTGGGTGTGAATTGGTATTGAGGGACTTTGCAAAAGCCAAGGGTGAAATAATAAGCGCTTCTAAAATTTCTCTCAGAGATTTCATGTTCTAAATGAGGATATATATAGTGCATGGAAACGTATAGGAGTGTGTGTGTGTGTGTGTATGTGTGTGTGTGTGTGTGTGTGATACCAGAAAGATTAAAATATGCAACTGCAGCCGATGAGCATACTGTATTGATCCTTCCAGTGACTTGGGATGAATTTGATTCTAGAAATGAAAGAAAAGATTAATGATGCTGTTAGTCTGCTTTTGAATTAGAGCGCTTCTTCTTTTGGCTGCAGTAACGTTGTTTTTCAGATCCCTTTATTTCATCCTCTAATTTGTGAACTCGCCAGGTCTTTCCGGCACCTAGAGAGAATCCTCTTTCTCCATATAAATACAGATACTCTCTCACATACAATGAGCTTCCTCTAAGAACTGGGAAAACCAGTTAACCTCCATGTGGTAAGAATGTATATATATATATATGTACATATATATTCCTCTAGGATTTTTCTCTTCCACTATCCCTTAAAATTGTCAAGGTGTGCATTAGTGGAGGAGGGCTGGAGGAACAGAAGAAAAAAGGTTATGTGATCAATGTAACATTAATATAATAATTGGCTCCCACAGTTGTACACACAAGCAAAAAAAAAAAAAAAGGTTTTCTAACACATGAGCTTGAGAATGGGTTCAAAGCACTACTCTTGATCAAAACATTCCAGATTTATTTTGCAAATGACTTAAAATTTAGCAGATTCCTGAGTCCACTTAAAATATGAAAGTATACTGAATAATATGCTATTTCAGATGATTTGAAGAGCTCCTTTCTTAGGGTTTGCAAAGGAGTAGACAAGATATGACTGGTGATTGCTGATAGTGTAGAATATATCAGCCATAATATATAAGTAACTGAGATTTTTATTTCCTTTTGCTAGTGGGCAGTGTGTATGTGCATGCCCCCGCACAGTGTGCGTGTGTGTGTTGAAAGAGAGAGCACCAGTCATCAATTTCATCTGGGAGGAACTTGAAGTGGGATCCCCTAGCTTGGTGGCTCTCAGCTGACACCTGTAGGGATTGCTCTGTACTGAAGAGAAATGCTCTCAGCTCCCTCCATGGAGAAGCAGCAGCACAATGCAGTGCCATAAATTACTGCTAGTTTCAGCTTGTAGGGGGAGAAAAGTGTTAATTGGATAGTGAGCTTCTACTTCCAGACAATAAATTTGGGGTGTTTGTGTGTGTGCATGTGTGTATTGTGTATGTATATTGCTGTGTGTGGGGGATATAAGAAATAGTGAGAAAAATAATGCACTTCCTTGACATGAACGGATTATACATTTGTAGTTTTTTTTTTTTTTTTCCAAACTGTGAGAGTAGCTTTTTTGGTTAAAAAAAAGAGGTAGAAAAAAATCAGTATTTATGATTTCCGTACCATTTCAAGAAGCTGTCAGATTAGAGTTGAATAAAGAGAAGTGATTTAATAGTATAGTGAGTGATTCAAAGGTGTGGTTTTAAATTCTGGCATCCTAGAGCCATAGCAGCTGAGATGACATACATGCCAACTGCTGTTCTGACCACACAAATTGTGAGGTCTGACAGCCAGATACAGATTTCAGGAGGAGTTAGATCACTACACTATTAGGCAAAATATTAAGTACTTTATGCACCTTTAGAGAAGTTAATATTATGGCATTTGAGACACATTGCCAAAAACATAAATCTGGCTCCAATTAGTTGTTTTCTTTTACAACAGATTATTCCTTTAATAAAAAGGAGAACTATACTTGTTTGAAATTTTGCAAGAGACTACCAAGAAACCATCAATGTTCCTTCTAAGAAAAATAAAATGGCAGGAATGTTATGCAAATCTAAGCTGGCAGCTTCCTGCCAACAGTTTGATATAATTTGCCCATTGTAAAATGTATTAACTTGACATTTGAATAGGTTGTATTTTTACTGTCCACAGAACAAACACGCAGCATAGAGATCCTTAAAAGCATTTTTTCCCTCTCCTTACATATTTTAAAAATCAAACTATCTTGGAAAAAGAAAAAGATAACCAGAATCAAATTTCCCTTTAAAACTTGGGGCTATCTACTAACAGTTAAAATAAACTACAAGGGAGTAATGGATTATTGTAAAATTATGATATTAAGTGTTAGAAAATATTAGGCCTTACTTGTAATGAGGATAGAAAAAGCTCCATCCAAGGTTAGCTCTTTACCTTACTAATAGAACCAGTGCTACACCTGTGTTATGAGCTAAATAACAGTTTACATACTATATTGATATTGACTTTAAACCTTAATTTTGGCTTTAATTCTCTGCAGATGTCTGGGTCCTTAAAAAAGACAAAATAAAACCAAAATGCATCACCAACACACAACCAATTGATGTGCTGACATCTCAGCTTGGCCCTGCAGAGGCGGAGAGCAAAGAAGAAGAGGAGCTGTTGTGATTTCCACATCTAACAGCTTCTGACTATTTCGCAACTGCTGGGTTTGAGTCCTACTGTTGCCGTGGTTGAAAAGAGAAGTAAAACCCAACTTGTGAGACCATGCACAAGGAATTAGGCTTTGGTTGCAGCGGTGCTGAAGTTTATGCTCTCAGAAAAGAAGCAGACCTTTGAAGCTATCCTGGGGTTAAGAAGTGGTGCCCTAAAGAGGCAAGCATCCCTTTCTCCGTTGTGCTTTAAGACACCGCATGTGGAGGAGACACACTTAAGGCATTCACAAGCGTCTAAGCATACTGGCTCATTGCTGGCTTCCTGTACTTCCCTGAGAAAGGTGTTTGCTTTTTGCTCACTCTCACTGCTTCCTTTTGGCCTGGTATCACCGGTGGAACCTGGCAGATAATGGGATTTGAGGAGTTAAGTATCTGCTGACACCACAGACGGTCTTAAATTAGTTAATCAGACTCAAATGGGTCAGTGCTTTCCCTTGATCCTTGACTGAAGCCTTTTCCAGAACGTTGCCTCCAAAGTGCATCCTCCCTTTGGTCTGGAAGTTCTGTGGCTGCCCTGTACCCCTGGGGTCAACGTTTTCCAGTTGGAAGAGGACTACAGGGAGAGAGGGGGGGGTTGTTGGAAGAAGAAGAAGAAAAAAAGAACTAGATAAAGGAGGGCACCTCCCTCCCACGCCCGCCTTTCCCCCTACCTTCCTTTCTCTCGGCACCCTTATTTCTCCATCACGGTGACCAGGACCATTTTGACCCTGTCGGCCCCGGCACCCCCCCGCCGCACCCCAGCCCCGAGCATGGGGACGGCGCTGCTCCAGCGCGGGGGCTGCTTTCTCCTGTGCCTCTCGCTGCTGCTCCTGGGCTGCTGGGCGGAGCTGGGCAGCGGGCTGGAGTTCCCGGGCGCCGAGGGCCAGTGGACGCGCTTTCCCAAGTGGAACGCCTGCTGCGAGAGCGAGATGAGCTTCCAGCTCAAGACGCGCAGCGCGCGCGGCCTCGTGCTCTACTTCGACGACGAGGGCTTCTGCGACTTCCTGGAGCTGATCCTGACGCGCGGCGGCCGCCTGCAGCTCAGCTTCTCCATCTTCTGCGCCGAGCCCGCCACGCTCCTGGCCGACACGCCGGTCAACGACGGCGCCTGGCACAGCGTGCGCATCCGCCGCCAGTTCCGCAACACCACGCTCTTCATCGACCAGGCGGAGGCCAAGTGGGTGGAGGTTAAGTCCAAGCGCAGGGACATGACAGTGTTCAGCGGCCTCTTCGTCGGGGGGCTGCCCCCGGAACTGCGCGCCGCGGCGCTCAAGCTCACCCTGGCCTCCGTGAGGGAGCGGGAGCCCTTCAAGGGCTGGATTCGAGAAGTGAGGGTCAACTCCTCGCAGGTGCTGCCGGTGGACAGCGGCGAGGTGAAGCTGGACGACGAGCCGCCCAACAGCGGCGGGGGAAGCCCGTGCGAGGCGGGCGAGGAGGGCGAGGGCGGCGTGTGCCTCAACGGAGGCGTGTGCTCCGTGGTGGACGACCAGGCCGTGTGCGACTGCTCGCGAACCGGCTTCCGCGGCAAGGACTGCAGCCAAGGTAAGGCCCGACGCCCGACCACGGGGGCCGGGGCCCGGGCAGGGCGCGGGGAGGGGAGGGGACCGGGCTGCTGCATGGGGTCTTCCTAACCTGGCCAAACGTGTGGCAGTTCGCTTCGAGGGGAAGGCCTGTTTCTCGTGGCCTCTCCGCCTCCACAGCTCCTCCCTTGACATCCTGCTAAGGACGGGGCCGCCCCCACTTCCAAGTTCCAGTTCCTCCTGGAGTCCTTCCTGCCAACCCTACTCCCTTACAAGTGGCAGATGCAATGGCCTCTTCTCATTCCAAGGGCTCTTTGGCAGGTTGAGCCCTATATTTATTGGACTGTGGCCCACCTCTATGACCACTTGTACTTGTCTCTACCACTACTAAATCTGTAACACACAGACTTTGCCTATAAGATGCCAACAAGCATCTCAAAGTTTGGACCTGCGTTTGATGAGAAATGAGGCACGGGAGAGGTTTACCACGGCCGTGGTTGAGAATCCCACGTGGTTGTGGTCCCTCGTGGTAAAGGACGAGAGAGACAGGGTCCGCAGGCACTGCTACGCCTTTTGCAAATAGAGCGGTAAAAACCTGCTTTTGGCTGTGGAAAAAGGGGAAGAGAGGATGTGAAGAGTTTCTTCATTAGCAGGAGGCTTTTTGGAATAATGTTGGTTTCCACGGTTATATCCCAGTCCAACATTTGTCAAATTTAAGGAAAATTTTCTGATTTCTGTGGTTTGTTGAAATCTGAGACAGGTCAGCTGCTGTTTAAAAATGGTAGAGATTTAATAACATATTTTCTTAATTAACAAATGCCTTGTAAAGAGAAATACAGTGGTGGAGAAATTTAGATGTTGCTGGATTGGGAAGCTTCTGCAGACTAATAAACAGGGATGCATGTAAGGGATTGCAGGAGATTTTCTAAGGATATTCGGCTAATGACATTTATCTGGGTAGTGGAGGCCAAGTGGTAATTTCTGTGGTTCTTGGGGCTTAAAACAGTGTGGAGTTAACAAAAATCATACTTAAGTTCTGTTTTCTCCCCTTTAGAAATAAAATTCAGTCTTCAGTGTGTTTTGCCGGTGTTGTTGCATGACAATGACCAAGGAAAATACTGTTGTATAAATACAGCAAAACCTCTGAACAGAAAGTGGGTGAGTGGTGTGAAAAAGACAAATTAGTGGCTAAGCAGGAGATGTCGGGATTTAAAGTAGATAGCTACGGGTCAAAGCAAGGCAATCAACGCATGGATAAATGGCATTTGTGGCTGAAATGGGTGAAGAAACGGTGACTTATTAATCTGATTTTGAAAGCTATAGGGACAAAAGCTCTATGTGTGGCTGCGTTTTATTGTATAATGTCTGTTTTTTGCTGACACTGCGAAGGGGAACTAGCCTTTGTAAAGCTTATTAGAGTTGGCAGTTCTCTCTCACTTGACTTTAAGAGAAAGGAAGACTTGATAAGATTTGTAATTGTTTAAACAGCAAGTAGAGTTAGGAAGAAAAAAAGCTGGTCTTAAGAGAGTTCTGTAGTGCTCACAGGATTAGGAGTGCGGGAAGAAAAGAAAGGGCTGTTTGCGCTCTGTCTTCATGTGGGTTTTTGTTTTTCATTATATTTTGGCTTAGGTAATTATAGAAAACTGTATATTCCATGGCCTATACAGTATGTCAGCTTTAATAATACATTTCTATAGATATAAGAGCAGGCTTTATAGCTACGTTTTACAAAATGAAAAAGATGATTATTTTCTTCTACCAAATCTAACCTAATTGTAAATCATGAATAAGCAGCTAGATATAATTTCCACACTATAATTTGAAGTTGCATACTTTTGCACTGATTAATAGAAATGAATTTAAAAATGAACATGATTTTATGGAAAAATTTCCCTAAGAATCCTAATACCATTTTAAAATACAGAGAAGGCAGTTTAATGAAGGACACATGAAATGTAGCTTCCTTCCTTAAATTAGGAAACAAATATGACACAATGACAGCTTGTACTGTGTGGGAGGGTGTTTTAAATGAAAATTTTTATTTTTCTATGCATTTTTAATGTAGGGATCCAGAGATCATGCATAATCAGGAACAGTTAAGAGTGAAAAAAGCATGGAAAAGTAACTTGTTAAGGAGAAGCAGAATTAGATGTATCTGAAATGCATTTTATTTGGAAATGGAGAGCTCTTTCTACTAGATAAAGAATTTGGAATTACCATGATGCGTTACTGAACAGTATAGTGCCTGGTGCATAGGATAATTCAACTCAGAATAGCAAACCCCTTAGGATTCTTCTGAAGCCTTGAGTCATTTTGAAAATTTGAGCTGAAAATGGAGTGCAAAGATCACCACTAACCATAGAAGGCAAAGAAAAGATTGGATTCTTTTGAGTATCACAGAATTGGGAGATGGAGTGATAAACGCAGAGTCGGTTTTCCTAGAAGGATTGGCTCCATTTTGCTTATTTTCCCTATTTCATGTGTGTCAAGTGACTGTTGAATAATTAATTGAGAGTGGATGCCTCTCCCAACACAGATCATATATTAATGGCAAGGGATGGATGATTTCTATTCAGATGAAATATCAACAAAGCTCTGCCTCTAGCCAGCATTTACATTGTTTGCCACATTTTTCATAAAAACTAATTTTAAAATAAATAAGTCCACATTCATTAGAGAATATTTAGGGAAAAAAACAGGCAAGCAAATCTTAAACACAAATTCAGATTATCTCTGGTCCTAACTAAATTCTTTTTAAAACTTTAATAACATTTAGCTGCCTTCATATTTAAAATACAATAAGAACTACTAAAACGTAAGACTATAATAAGATAATGAAAATATTCTCTGCCCCCCCCAACCTCTAGCCAAGAGTGCCTTGAAACAACTTAGACACCTATGAATTTCCAGAATATTTTAATTGAATGAGTCAATTTCAACCTGGCTTTGTGTTCAAGCCTAGCAAGTTTCATTTGTTTATTTATGTACTGACAGAGAACCCAGGAAAGGTTATGGGTCATGACCAGGTTAGTGGCAGAACCTGGGTAAAAGCATAAATATTTTTATTTATTCCCAAGCCCTTTTTCACCATGTCTGCCAAATAAGATTTCCAGTTCATTCAGGTTGAGATTATTTTTCAGGTTCAGGTGTTATTCAAGGGAAAAAAAAAAAACATAAAAATAGCTGATGGAACAAAACTAATTTATGCATCACTTACATTCTCTGACCCTGAGAGTCAGCCTCAGAACTCAACTAACCAAAAATGTCACCTTTCCTGAATGATGAATACTTACAGCATACATAGCTTTTTCATATTCATTTCATCTAAGTGCCTGGACCATTATTATGGTCTCATCTAAATGACCTTGACCATTATTTCTGGAGCACTCATAGTTTTCTAGTAACTTGAAAGAATTAGTGATTTTCTTAGCTATCCAGCTTAAAAACAAGAATAACAAGGATAATCAATAAGAAATTAAGTTATATTTCTCATGATTTCCAGATCCCCAGGTCTCATGCATTTTAGGGTCATGTACATTAAAATTTCACATTGGACTGTTTCATTTTTTTCGCATGTTCTCTGTTTAAATGGCCATAAGCACATATGGCTTAGGCTTACTGATTGTTTAATGTTACTGAACATGTCAGCATGATAGATGTGACTTAAGAAAGCTTCTGCTTTCCATTACTTTGCTAATGTGACCAGATAGGCAACCACATTCACTCATTCATTCCTTTCTTCATTCATTCATTTGCTTATTAATTTCTTTATTTAACAAATACTGATTAAGTGTTTTGTGTACCAGAGTACTAGGCTTATGCAATAAAATGGTAGTGCAGAAATAGTTGTTTCTTTCATAGACTTCATGTTCTAGTGAGAAGGCAAATTGACTTTTTAAAAATAGGAACTTTTTAAAATGGTGGTATGGAAGGATGGGTGCATGGTACTATGGAAACTTAAAATAGTGTGAACTGACCTAAATAAAAGATTTTCCTGAGAAGTGATTATTAAACTGCAATATGAAAAAGTGAGAAACAATTAACCAAATTAAGAGGAGAAGTATTAATCAGGTAAAGCCCAGAGTTACAGAATTCTGATGTGGGAGATGGCACTGCATGTTCAAGCCACTGAGAGAATGCCTTAAGCATGGAGCTCTAACTCCACACTTGGGAGGGATGGAGTCAGGTAGTGCACAGCCTTCTGGACCATGTCAAGTATTTTCATCTTTACTGTAAGAGTGATAAAAGAGTAATAGGAAGAATAGAGTGTGGATAGTAGGGATTAAGATGGAATTATCACATTTATATTTCCGAAATGTCACTCTAGCTATATAGTGTAGAGAACAGATTAAAAGGGGGCCAGGGAAAAAGAGAAAACACTGTTTTCTGTTTGTCAGTCAACATCATTTGTTAAGCACCCACAGCATGCTGTAAATTAAACTAAGGGAAAAACTAGTGAAAAATATATAATTCTTTCTTGAAGGAAGTTAGAGTCATCATGGGTTTGGTTAGATATAGAAATGTAAGGCCATTGATTGTTCAGAACACTTTGGTTCTACCTGTGAAATGCATTGCCTGAACTCTTTATGTGGATTGTAATGTAGTTTCCTGCAGATACACCCACTGAATCTATGGGTCTTTGGAACCCAGTGGCAGTGCGACACTTCATAGTGAATCCCCAGGTACTTTGCTCAACGTGTTCTAGTGACAAAATATATTGGTTGTTTGAATCAACATTGTAACTACTACAATAAGGGAAAATATTATGTAGGTGCTGGTAATCTTCATAAGATTGTTTTTTATTTAAGTAGTTATTATATAAGTAGATACTGGACAAAAATGATTCAGAGATTTTGACACAGTTTTGTTTGAAGTCTACCATTTTAGGAAAAAGATGGATTATCTGTGTTGAGAAAACTTTGAGTCACAGAAACTCATTAATAGTTTTGATCTAGAGGAAAAGTTCTGGGAAACTCTTAAACTGTGACAATGAAAGGCATCTATTTATTAAAAAGTTTATTT